TCTCTATCGCATGTGAGAATCTCTCTATCGTCTGGGAGACTTTCTCTATCGCATGTGAGAATCTCTCTATCGTCTGGGAGACTTTCTCTATCGTCTGGGAGAGAATCTCTCTATCGCATGTGATAATCTCTCTATCGTCTGGGAGACTTTCTCTATCGCATGTCAGAATCTCTCTATCGTCTGGGAGACTTTCTCTATCGTCTGGGAGAATCTCTCTATCGCATGTGAGAATCTCTCTATCGTCTGGGAGACTTTCTCTATCGTCTGGGAGAATCTCTCTATCGTCTGGGAGACTTTCTCTATCGTCTGAGAGAACCTCTCTATCGTCTGGGAGACTTTCTCTATCGCCTTGAAGAATTTCTCTACCACCCTGGAGAATTTCTATATCGCATGGGAGAATTTCTCTACCTCATCAGAGAATGTCTTTGTCGCATGGGAGAATATTTCTACCGTCTGGGAGAATCTCCCCATCGCATGGGAGAATATTTTTACCGTCTGGGAGAATCTCTCTATCGCATGGGAGAATATTTCTATTGTCTGATAGAAATTCTCTATCGTTTGGGAGAATTTCTCTACCACCTCGGAAAATTCTCTATAGCCTGGAAGAATTTCTCGATCGCCTGGGAAAATTTCTCTATCGTCGGAGAATTTCTCTATCACCTCGGAGAATTTCTCTATCGCCTGGGAAAATTTCTCTCTATCGTCTGGGAGTATTTCTCTACCACCTCCGAGAATGTCTCTATCATATGGGAGTATTTCTCTACCATCTCGGAAAATTTCTCTATCGCCTTGGAGAATTTTTCATCCGCACAGGAACATCTCTCTACCATCTAGGAGAATTTCTCTATCGCATTGAATAATTTCTTTATCGTGCGAGAATTTGTGTATGTAATTATATTTAATTATGAATGGACCATTAATTAACTTGTTTGTATATGTTGTTGTAACTCTTCAAATTGTAGGAAATAACGAAATGAGAATTTCTTTATGGTCTGGGAGAATTTCTCTATCGCCTGGGAGAATTTCTCTACCACATCGGGAGAATTTCTTTACCATCTCGGAGAATTCCTCTATCGCCTGGGAGAATTTCTCTTCGGCTCATTCGGTAGAGCGTCTGGTTATGCGATTGCATTGAAAACATAATGACTGGTGAAACATGTAAAAGTATAAAGAAAAAAATGTGAAAACGGAAATCCGCTCATTTAATTTAAGATGTAGAGTGATTGTTCTAAGAAATAACGTAATTGTATCTGGTGGCTCAGGTTTTATTCTCCTTGAATAAATATCAGCCAACGAAAACAAGCGTTTCTATTTTCATAACGTCACGTTTTGTATCGAATTGGCAATGCTATCCGTGGAGATTTTGGTGATTTCTAAAGCACAGACTGAATTGAAAATTAAGTGTATTACCAATATCAGTCAAGATCCGATCTCTAGGTCATATAAATACCTAATAAAAGACATTTTTCTTTGAAGATAGTATTTCTGTGTACTTAAAATGGCGGTCAATACTCAATGGTCTTGATGCATTGATCTATTATCTTTGACGAGATATAAACAAAGCGCTCAACGTCAGATAACAAAACGTTGACTCTGTATAAATTGATATCTGTAATATTTCGTGTTTGTGAATAGATTTACCTCAAGAGCTGCGGTTTAACATCGCGAATTTGAGAAGGAATGAAATGTTTTCAGCAATTTGTTTGCGGCGTTGCCAAGTTATGATATAGAACCAATGGGGGAGGCGTGACACTGTCTTGTTGGACGATGAGATGACGTTGTTTTGCGGATTGATAAACATATGTATTTTGAGAAAAATATTTTCAGAGAAACTGCCCTTCTGTTGAATAAATTTCAGAGTTCGAATTGACGATCTCTTGTTGGATGATAGACCCAGAAAAACAGATTTAACACTTTTTATTAGAGTTTGACATCCTCGCAACAGCCAGGGCAAAATGACGACTTTCATAAATTTCTTCAGAATTCACGCAGAAAAAATATCGAAAATGGAATTGCCATTTCTACAATATGTTAATTTTTGATGAAAATAAATATATTTGTATACTTACGTCTGATCGGTTCCGGTTTGATTCCGTGACAGAAGCTGAAGAAGTCCGGACAACAGTCGGACGCCGTCTCGTTACAGAATATATCACAGTAACAGGTACTGTCCAGTATAGGGACAGTGCACGTGTCGTCTCTCCCCGGACAACACTGACCATCCCGGCGGGTAGCACAATACGGTCCACGTACGTCATCATCCATCTCAATGAATCTCTTACTCCGGGACAATTTCAGCCCCACCCTCTCGTCCCCCAGGGCCGGGATGGAGACAAGAATAGTCGTTACACACACCAACAAGAATTTCGATACAACTCGTTCCATAGTTTACACTATATATTGCCTATTTTTACCTATTATATGTATAAATCCAACGAAATTTTATTACACTTCCAACAATCACACTTTGGTTTTTTCTTGTGTCGACTAGATTATTTGATCCCACATTTTTTAAACACAATAGCCATAAATATTATCCATTCTAGAACACTCTGGTTTGATCGTGGACACTGGTCACTAGTTGATTGTTGACCGCTGGAGTATTGTGGTCATCCGTTCTGTCAGGTAAGCCGCTCCATTGCTAATGTTACCGGAGCTTGAGTCCGTCCCAGCACCTACATGTGTGTATACACTTTACTATACAAGCCGAGGGTCATGTACTCGTGTACTGTAGCTATATGTGTATTACAGGGCGCACATAAACCGCTGAACATGCTAAAATGGGTTCTATTAAATGTGTATGCATAAAAGATTTATGAAAATTTCGTCACATTCATTACTTATAACACATACCCCCGAGGTGATACTTAAACACCTATAGTTGTATGTGTTAACGCTAAATGCCTTTGACCTAATATTTAAATCACCAACATACATATATATATATATATATATATATATCTTGATGGGAAAATGATATGTTGACATTGTGATAACTAATACCTCAAATCCATTACGTGTATCATAAATTGTGTCAAGAATGAATGGCAGTGTTTCTAATGACACTGGGCATCGGTCAGCGATGATAAAATGACACGCTAATCTCTCCGGCCTCGGGATAAGTCAATATTTGTGTGGGAAACTTGTAGGTCAGATGGACATCATGCACGTAATGATTTCAACCCACATTTACTCATTACAGTCGCCGAGATTAATCAACTCTCCGACAAAAAAGTAATAAGTAAGGTATATTTGAATTAAGTGCGTAAAAATAATTGCCATTTGATGAAAAAAGACACGGATTCATTGTATAATTGATTTCCTATGTATCAAGAATATGATACTATTTGCAGCTAAAACGATTTATCATAACTGAGATAAGTTTTTGACTTTCTTTTGTGCCACGCGTATTTCATGATACAGATGCCTTTGTGTTCAGGGAACATCCAAACGATGTTGGCAGTTACAAGGTGCTAACTGCAGGTCGGTGATTTTTCTCCAGGTACTCCGGCTTTCCTCCACCACCAAAACCTGGCGCGTCCTTAAATTACCATAGCTGTAAATAGGATGTAAAACACAAACAAACAAACAAACATTCAACCCAGTTATAAAATTGTTAGCCAAATAAAATCATCACGGAATACTTTTGAAGCATATCACGAAAACAAGTCTTCGAAAAAATAATGCTATGTTATTTACCGGATTTTATGGAACTCCTTCTAGTTGTTACGTACTGAGTATAACTGTTACGCACACACATTGTGTTTCCAATCTGTGTTATCCTTATACCAGGTTTACACTCTCTAATAATTTCGTTCTTAAAATAGATGTAACGAGCTATCTTATATAATACGTTATTACAAATGTTGTTGCTAAAGATTCGCCAGTGCCTGTTAACAGATATTGCGTAACGTCGAAAATTGTCTTCTGAAAACAAAAACATTCACATTTTCAATAAGTTGTATAAATGTTTACATACTGTATACATAGTTGTTTTCGCGGTGGTGATATTTCGCGATTTCCGCAGTAAGATTACGAATCGGCGGGCACCGAACACTTTTAGTCGAGTGATACGCCAGACCATACCGTCCCATCACCGGTTAAACGTTTTGCTACTTGGTTTAATTCCATATTTAATTGGAAAAAATAACACTACGTAACATGACTTCTTATGTGAGTAAGTATTTTGTACGCTACAAAGTAATGCTTAAATTGTGCTATAGCCACTATACATAGCTAACCCTGCGTTATTTACAGTGTTGTAATAATCGTTACACTAAGTGGGTCACAGCGACAGACGGATTTAGCTAGGTGACACGGCGAGACGTATAAATAAAACAGGAATCCCCGCCGAGTGTTACAGCACACACGTGATTACGGAAACTGGAAATAGAAATATGATAAGCTCTTATTAAATCTGCATAAACACTTAAAAAACCTATAAATACCCTTTAAACGTCGACTCAGCATTTCACGCTGCAAACAGAATTAAATTAAAGCAGTATATCTTTTCTCTTGCCTTTCTATTATTCTTATGCTGTATGTAATACTCATTCAAATAAAACATCAAAGACATTCGGTAAAGAAATGCCAACTAATTGTATACAGCAGTAATAATAATCTTCTCCATTTTGCCGACAAAAGCAATCTATTTTCCGTAAGAATCCGTTCGAGTTAAGCTAGGGAAATATCGCGGTGGTGTACCTGTGCACGTAATACGGGGCCGTTATAGATAAGTACAGGTATTAATACAGAAATACATATAGATCGTAAATGGCTTTCTATTTTATTTACGATTTAAAAAACAAACGAAGAAGATTACATTTAACGGAGGCTCTGCCGATCTTTTAAAATGGCATTATCACGAATATTTCCAAATGTGTCTTCATTGTGACGTCGCACTGTGAGAACGTCATGTCTATTAATACGCGATATCTGCATGTATGACATTGGTTTATTCACCGCAAAGCACGGTAGCCATGTTACGAAATAATACAACTTTGGTGATTAAAGGCGTGAAAAACTGAATGAATTATGGATATGTACTGCATGGAGGAACTTTTTGTGGCAGTTTTTTTTTCGGTGGCAGTGCCATTATATCGAGGTGACAGTGCTGTTATATCGAGGTGACAGTGCTGTTATATCGAGGTGACAGTGCCATTATATCGAGGTGACAGTGCTGTTATATCGAGGTGACAGTGCTGTTATATCGAGGTGACAGTGCCATTATATCGAGGTGACAGTGCTGTTATATCGAGGTGACAGTGCTGTTATATCGAGGTGACAGTGCCATTATATCGAGGTGACAGTGCTGTTATATCGAGGTGACAGTGCTGTTATATCGAGGTGACAGTGCTGTTGTATCGAGGTGACAGTGCCATTATATCGAGGTGACAGTGCCATTATATCGAGGTGACAGTGCTCTTATTTCGAGGTGACAGTGCTGTTATATCGAGGTGACAGTGCTATTATATCGAAGTGACAGCGTTGTTATTTCGCGGCAGATATGTTATTATTTCGTGGGCGGGAGTGCTATTATTTCGCTGTGAAAGATTTAATATTTCGCGACAGCAGTGGTTTTATTACGCAGCGACAGATTTATCTGTGAATTCAACACGGCAGCAAATATTTTCAGTCAAATAACATCTAAACATCGCCGATTTAACACTTTGTTAATGTATTCATACACACGCTGAAATACCACTGCGCGAATTGGAGGCTGATTACAGAATTTATTTCGAGAGGGCATTTTAAAGATAGTTTTGAAAGAGTTTGTCTTGGGGTAACGTCGTAGCTCATTTTTGCATTTCTTAAGGTTCGAATATAAATTCCAATCAAAAACTATTATTTTCAAACTGTAAATTCTCATGTTCAAAAGCGAAAATAGAATTCCCGAGTAATCTCCCTTTGCAGTATCATATTCTACAGTTTGACAAAAATAGTTCGGTCAGACAGTTGTGCATTGTCGTTTGGTGGTATATACAGGCCCATGGAACATGTTTCAGTTAATACAGTGAAAGCGTACATGGGGATTAAACGAGATTTATCCACGTGCTATTCTCTGTGTTTCGTTATACAATACTTTTCTCCTCATTATCACCTTATAATCCGCTATACATAAAATGCATAGCAACACCCATACCTTGCCAACGTGGACTTAACGAACACATGGAACTAAGCATGAATTTGAAAAAGTAATATTTCATTTAATAAACAAGGATGATTATAGCATAAATAACAATAACGTCACAGGGATTGGATAAAAAGCTTAAAACTGTTATCAATTCTATAAGGAACCGATGAATTAAAGCCCAGTTCATCCATGGTGTGTAGGAAGATTATTTATAGACGTTTGAAGGATTAAGATCAACACCTGACAAAAACGTACCCTTTAGGAATGATTGTAAAAAACTAAGGGCAGAAACTTTCAGGGTTTAAATCAAACCCCGACGAAAAAAAGCCGCCTATGGATTTCACCAGCTCCACACATTGCAAAGTCCGTAGGGTGGTATTTCCGTATAGCGTTGACTTAAACATTTAAGTTGTCTGCTATAACACCCTACATACGAGGAAAGTATTCCCCTAATTCTCAGGTACATGTGCTTGCAAGCTCGTCAAGTCATAGATAAGTCTAGTCATGCTATGTCGGAATACAGTCCAACTTTGTATTGTCAGAATATAAACCTCGTTATGACAGAGTGTATAGTCCAACTTTGTATTGTCAGAATATAAACCTCGTTATGACAGAGTATATAGTCCAACTTTGTATTGTCAGAGTATAAACCTCGTTATGACAGAGTATATTCCAACTTGACTGAGTATAGTCTAGTCTCGTTATGACGGATTATAGTCCAGCTTCGTTATGTCGGAATACAGTCCAACCTCATTATATCAGTGGATAATCCAGAGGCCGCGATGTCTGATATTCTGATACCACTAGCTCTCCACCACTGGGTCGCGGGTTCGACACCTATGTAGGGCAGTCGCCAGGTACTGGCCGTAGGTCGGTGGGTTTTCTCCAGGAACTCCGGCTTTCCACCAACACGAAAACCTGGCACGTCCTTAAATGAATCAAACTTCGTTATATCGGAATACAGTCCAACGTCTTTATGACGGATTGTAGTCCAACGTCGTAATGCCAAGTGTATATACCAACCTCGTTATGTCGGGGTATTGTCCAACTTCGTTATGTCAGAGGATAGTCCAACCTCGTGATGTCAGGGTATAGTCCAACCCTGTGATGTCAGATAATAGGATTACCGCGTTATGTCTGAATAAAGTCCAACTTTGTTATGACAGGATGTAGTCCAACTTCGTTATTTCGGAGTATAATCCAACTTCGTTATGTCAAGGTATAACCTAACCTTGTTATGTCTGAATACAGTCTAACCTCGTTATGCACGAGTAAAGTCCAACTATGTTATCCCAGGGTATAATCTTACCTCGTCATGTCTGAATACATTCCAACTTCATGATGTCTAAATGCATTCCAACCACGTCATGATAGGGTGTAGTCCAATTTCGAGATGTCAGAGTATAGTCCAACCTCGTTATGTCTGAATACATTTCAACCTCGTGATGTTAGAGAATAGTCCAACTTCGTTATGTCAGGATATAGTCAAACCTTCCAATTCTGTCAGAATACATTCCAAACTCGTTATGTCTGAATACATTCCAACCTCGTTATGTCTGAATGTATTCCAACCTCGTTATCTCAGAGTATAGTCCAGACCCGTTATGTCAGGGTATAATCCAACCTCGTTATGTCTAAATACATTCCAACCTCATGATGTCAGAGAACAGTCCAACCTCGTGATGTCAGGATATAGTCCAACCTCGTTATGTCGGGATATTGTCCAGTTGTTAAGTCGGAG